AATAATTAATTATATACTATCCCTTAGATCGTAATAGTATGTCCATCAGATAATTTTTAATATTTTTGTTTTTTTTTTTTTTTTTTTTTTTTTTTTTTTCGGTGTGTTTTTTTTCTCCTCTGTTTTGTTTCAAAAGACGTCAATACTAATGAATTACACGTGAAATGGGCTGCTGCCGGGTTGTACGGCGGCGGCGGCGGCTGCGGCAGCGGGCCGAGTGACGCGCCTGCAAATTTCATGCAAATTTCCCTAACGACCTTTGACAGTTAGACCGGCGGCCGGCGGCAAAGTAGGCGAAATATTAAAACACTCGAAACTGGGACGTTCCGTGGGTTAAATACCGGTGTGATAAATGTGCACACTGCAGCGGAACGATGGTAACGATTATCGCCTATATGTACGCGATTTACATATTATTATTATTATTATTATTATATTATAATATGACACTTTTATCTCGACACCGCCACCGCCGTTAATAATAACAACAATATTAATGTTGTATTATATTTGTGAAATCGCGATTATGTGGATATTCGGAACGACAGTTAAAATTTAAAAAAAAAATTGCCCGATAATTTTGGGAATTTCACCACGTCTAGGTAAGTCCAATATAAGTATTATAACCTAGTTTTAAGTCTCTACGTAAATCAATAACCGAATAACAGCAGAAAAAAACTTCCAAAAATGAAAATTCCTTAAAGCTAAAAAGTAGCTCAAAACGTCATCCGCGTTTTTATTAAATAACGAAATCGTGAAATTTCAGGTTTCCCATCGTTTTTTTCCACTTGAGTGATTTTATTTAAAATAATGGCGTCAAAAATCAAAAAAATTACCCGTTTAAAGTACCATCGATAAAACTCGAGCTTTCAGAAAAGTTGCTACACGTAAAAATCGGAGCTAGTTTACCGGGAAAAAAACGTGTCCGAAGACTAGAAGAAGAAAAAAAAAAATAAACCTCTTAGTAAAACCAATAGCTCCCTCCTCGCTACGCTCGGGATCTAAAATACGGTAAACAAGCGGGCATTTGCAGCATTTGGATTTCGGATTAGCCGTGTTTAACGTTTCAACGTTTCGTTGTAATCCGTCACTGTACAACGATCATACAAACTGACTCGATGAAAGCCAGAATACCCGCAATGCCAATGGCGCCGAAACCAGCAGTCAACGGTGGCGGTCGCCACGTTTCTTTTAATGTGCAGAGGTGGTGCGAGGACCCATGACGGGTACCTTAATCATGTTTTTTTATCGATTCGGTACGCGCGGAATATTCATTAAGAGTGTTGTACGGGAGTTTGTTTTGTAAACGAGGGCGGTTTGTCTATACAACTTTCAAGCTGCCCACATTCTCAAAACACGGTTCGGCGCCGCTGCGTAGTGCTAATATACTCGGGTACATTCGGCTAACGTTTCCGACGTCCGCGATAGTTCGTTTTCTACCGAGTTTGCAACAACGCCGCAATTTTGTACCGGACCGAACGCTACCGCCAATGCGTAGCTATTCGCTACCGGAAACCACCGTGTCGCCGCCGATGTCGATGACCGAGATCCCTGGGCGAAATGGTGTTTCCGGATGGAAACGGGGAAAACACGCACGCCGCAGCGACACCGATAGATTGGTTACGTATAGGTAAATCCTAAAAAACACGAAATACGAAATCGTAGTCTGTTGTTCGCTATAATATAACGACACCGCCCGTAGTTTTTCCTCCGCCGTACAGGAATGCGACTATTATTTTATTAACGCGTACCGCAACGATGTAGGTGGGTATAATAGGTATATGTATTTTTAACTAGATTTTAAAAATACGTTTATTTTGGAACGCGACATTTTGGCACGGGTTGTTTGACTTTTTATAATGATAATAATGATTTACCGTTTTGTTTGGCTTTTATCATAATTTATATAAACGACGGATAACAATGTAAAAGACACGAGCGCGCGAGGTGTACGTGCGATGCGCGGCAAAGTGTATTATACAGACGGGACCGACTTTTAAATTTTACTAATTGAACGCACGTATATTTATGTATCATTTTTTGTTTTTATTTTTATTTTTTTTTTTTTTTACAAGTCTATTATGTTACGGTCGAAAGCACGCCGTTTTGGCCATTTGCGCGCAGCCGTTCAATCTGACTACGTTATTATTTTTACGGAAACACGAATTTATTATAATAATAATTGTGCGCGCGCACCGCTATAAATTATGTGGCCAGATGTCATCCTAATTCCTGTACGGTGTCGCCTTATGAAGCCGAACGCATGAATATCTTAAAAAAATATATATGTATAATGAAAAAAATAATACTCGGCTATCGACAGGAAATGAAATACGCGTAATTTTTGTTACGGACTTTTCGGCCCGCACAACACAATAAAAATATATTCCAGTTGTTGTTAATGATTTTGGTGTTCTAAAAATGAATGGACTTTGTTTAAAAAACTATTATATTACAATTAATGAAAATTAACATCGGCAGACTTGCTACACTACGTGTACACAATACCAGTTCTAATAAATTATCGAATTTAAAGTCAATTGAGTTTAATACTGTCTTTGGTCAAAAAAGTGTCGTTTATGTTGGAACTGCTGTATGCGGGGAGTACAATATCATGTTTACTCAACTTAAATACTTGAATAAAAAACAAATAATTAATTATATACTATCCCTTAGATCGTAATAGTATGTCCATCAGATAATTTTTAATATTTTTGTTTTTTTTTTTTTTTTGTTTTCTTTCTTTTTCCGCTTACTTTTATTGATTTAGTTTACTAGATATTAGTTAATGTCTATTTATCTGTAAATTCTTATGTACATTTCGCTATAGTTTTTAATTTAATTTGTGTATATATTATTATAGATTTGAACTCACTATTCCCTAACACAAGCTGTGCTCATTGGAGAAGTGTCAATGTGTTTATTTTTCTCGTAAAAAAAGTAATGTATACACTGTTATAATTGACAAATAAAGATTATTATTATTATTATTATTATAGTAGTAATAAAAGTTCGGATGGTATAATATGATATAACGTAAGGTAAGTATTATCCGTTTAAATGCGACGATAAATCATGGCAATCAAAAAACGATTCTACAAGCGGAGATGGGTAAATCGGTAAAGTAAGTTATTAGTAAATTGTTTTTCCCCTGCAGTTTGTATTGTCCGCAAGTGAAGTGGTATCGTCTGTTGTTTGTAATTATAGATTCCCCGCGAAGCGAGAACTGTATTTGTTTTACATCGATGTGTTTTTTGTTTTATGTCTGTAATAAACCTCTCTACCAGAAATCTTGATCCGATCAAAACTTTTATGGGAATGTTTGATTCGGTTTTTGTATTGATGAG